TAAAAATAAATAATATAGACTTATTGATAAAAAAATATATATATATCTCATAATATAAATTATAATTATAAATTATAATTATAAGAAAATAATACTTTTTTCAAGTTTTCCATTAATAAATTTTTTCTTCAAATTTTAATTTTTTTCTATTAAAATTAGATAAACATATCTATTTAATATTAATATTAAAACAATATTACAACAAATATTAGTTTTCAAATATATTTATTAGATATTAGACCTAATTAAATAAAAAATTATATTTTAAGAAAATTTCTGCAAGAAAAAACAGAAGTTTTACAGTTTAAAAGAAAAATATAATATATATAATGTATTTTTTAATAATAATTTTTACAAAAAGTTATTATCGATTTTTTAAAAAAATTAAGTCATAATATTTTTTTACATAATAACATAATATAAACTCTCTCTCTCTTTTTTGAAAATATAATTTGTATTATTTGTAGAAATAATACAAAACATGTAATTTTTTAAGACTTTACCCCAATTTTTTAAAATGCAAAACAATTAAAAAAAAAGAATATAAATAAAAAGTTTTATTGAAAATAAATTAGTAAATGTTAGTGTAATGCGTACGCGTGCACACACATATACATATACACATAATAATAATAGCATATTAATAACAGCAACATATAGTACAATAAAAGTTAAAATTTTTGAATTTATGTAAATTTCAAAATAAGAGAAAGTAAGAGATCATTAAGCAAAGAGATTCTGCTCCTTTTTATCAATAAATCTATATTATTTATTTTTATTTCTATATTAAAATATAATCTAAAAAAATTTTATATTATATTACAATAAAATATAAAAGTTTATATGTGCTTATAGAAATAATCGAAGTGATCAAGTTGTGTTGTCAAGTAATAATATACGTACTGTTTTGAAGAACATCAGTAGCATGATTTACTCTTTGTATAAAGGTAGGATCTTCGCTATTGTCACTTTCTTGTTTCGCCACAAGTATAACTCGATTTGCAAGACGCGCAATAGATGCTGTATTATCGACCATTTTTTGTGGTAATGCCTTAGCAATTGCTTCTTCACACAGAAATGAATGCTTCTGCATTTGTTCTTCAGAAGTTCTAATAAAATCACCGCTATTGGTTGCCTCATCACATAATGCTCGTGCTCGTTGCATAGTTTCTGCGTATTGCTGTCGCAAATTTTCAAAATGCTCATCTGCAGCTTTACTATCCGAATAAGTCATACGAATTCGTCCAGCATTGATCAATTGCGGTGTTAAGGATTCCACTTGCGAAGCACTAGCGGCTAAAGCCTCAGCCAACTTCTTGTTTCCTCCACTTCCTATAACGATAAAAAAACTTAATCTTTAAAAAAAAGAGGATATATTTCTTAAAAGAAAAATATTGCCATATTAAACTATTATTAATCTTTAAATCTTTTTCTTTTAAAAAATCAATGTGACAATTTTTGTAGAATTTTTTATTACATACCGCCAGCTGCAACCATCCTTGCAGTTTTTGCCGCTCTATTCGAAAATATTTGTAAAGCGCATGTCTTGTCATTGAAATTTTGATCACGTCCCGGTACGCCAATGGGAGTTAAAACAGCATCCGTAAATTGTTTTAAAGGCGTAGTAATGTCAATAAAATCCTCGACGACGCGAGATATGACAGCTTGTTGTATTCTATTCTTTAATTC